AGTACCATACTTTACATGGCTTAGGGTTTACACATTGGAATGCTAACCACAAGGCCAGCAGTTCAAAACCCACATGGAAGAATCACACCAGGTTTTCCCGACATGATGGCTGAAGACAAAGAGGGTGCATAAGCAAATGTGGCGAAGAAAGCTGATGGAGCCCGGCTATCAAAAGATATAGCATCTGGGGTCTTAAAGGCTTGAAGGTAAACAAGCGGCTATCTAGCTCAGAGGCAACAAAGCCCACATGCAAAAAGCACACCAGCCTGTGAAATCACAAGGCATCGAAGGGATCAGGTATCAGGCATCAAAGACCAAACTAAAAAAAATCATAGCATTGTGAATGAGGGAGCATGTGGAGTGGGGATCCAGGACCCATCTGTGGGAAAATGGACATCCTCTTACAGAAGGGCAGTGGAGAGGAGATGAACCAGTCAGGGTACAGTGTAGCAATGATGAAACATACAATTTTCCTCTAGTTTTTGAATGCTTCCTCCCCGCCAACAATCATGATCCCAATTCTACCTTACAAATCTGGCTGGACTGGAGGAGGTACACTGGTACAGATAGGAACTAAAAACACAGGGAATCCAGGACAGATGAAGCCCTCAGGACCAGTGATGAGAGTGGCGATACCGGGAGGGCAGGTGAAGGAGAAAGAGGGAACAGATCACAAGGATCTACACATAGCCTCCTCCCTGGGGCATGGACAACGGAGAAGAGGGTTAAGGGCGATGTCGGACGGTGTAAGATATGCCAAAATAATAACAATTTCTAAATTATCAAGGGTTCATGGGGGAGGGGGGAGGGGGGGAATGAGGAGCTGATGATACCAAGGGCTCAAGTAGAAAGCAAATGTTTTGAGAATGATGAAGGAAACAAATGTACTAAAGTGCTTGACACAATGGATGGATGGATGGATTGTGATAAGAGTTGTATGAGCCCCCAATAAAATGATTTAAAAAGAAGAAAATGTCTTGAAAATGATGGTGACAACATATGTACAAATGTGCTTGACACAATGGATAATGTATGGATTGTGAAAGAGCTGTAAGAGCCCCAATGAAAGTATTTAATAAAAAAATTTAAGGCAAATGGCTACTAGATTTTTCTGAAATGTCAAAACAGAAGAAACCAAGAAAAATGAAATAAAATCCCACCTGGTCATTCTATCAGAAAATACCTTCATGAAGTTATTCAAAACTAGACTTACAAATGAAATTTGATCTTGGATACAAACCCCCAAACCCACTGTCATTATGTGACTGCAGCTCATGAAGGCACTACAGGATGGAGTGGAACTGCTCCTAAAGGGGTCTGAGACTGTACATCTTTATGAGGGCAGACAGCCTCGTCTTTCTTCCTCAAGTCTCCTAAAGTTCAGATAAAAATTATCATATTTAAAAAGAACACTTGTATCTGGAAGAAAATAGTTTGAATCTATGAACCTTGATGGTCGTATCTCACGGCATAGGTGTTTTGTTTTGGGCGTGTGTGGGGAGGGGAGGGATGGTGGGGGGGATCCTCATCCTGGGATTCATCCTCTCAGTTCATTCCCAGATAAAATGACGATCTCAGATGGATACATGTTCGTGAGTGACACCATTCGTGACAAGGCCCTACAAATTTGTCATGACCAGGAACCAAATTTTAAGATCCCATTCAAATAAATGCCTCAGTTGTTAGGATTCTAGGATCTAGGCCTATCGTGCTCTTATAAAATATGCTTGATTTGGCTTCCTGACCACGTTTTCTTGGGGAAAAATGATCATGACACAAAGTAAGAGTTACAGTGTTCATGACAGTTGCTTAATAGACTCATCTAAATTTTTAATTTTCATTAGTCATTTATTTTCCTTTCCATGTTTCAGAACTTGTTCAATGAAAAAAAAGTATTAGAAAATGCATACGCCTGCACTATTTAAGATAAACTAACAAACAAACAAACAAACACCAAGAACTCACTGCCATTGAGTTGATTCTGACTCACAGTGATCCTATAGGACAGGGTAGGACTGCCCGGGCGGGTTTCAAAGCCCGTGTAACCCTCTACATGAGGCGAAAGAGTCTTCTTTCTCCTGAATGGCTGATGGTTTTGAATTGCTAAAGACATTTCAGCAAAATTATGCAATTGCTTCAAATTCTAATATTTGCTTTGATCTCAGAGGTGAACAAGGAGACAGTTTCTCTCTTTTGGGGCTCTCTTTTTGTTTGTGAAACAGCAAATGACACCAACACGCAGACATTTTGAGTTAGTTGTATTGAAATAGTACATTGAAAAATAAAATGCCAAACCATAAGTGAAAGGATGTTCCCTTTGATTACCTTAGAGTTCTCTAGTTTATACTTTCGATATATAATCTAGTTAAAAACTCCAACGTCAAATTTGCCCTCTACACATGACATTTATTTAACCTTACATTTCCTCCCTGATAGTGCTGTCTTCTCTCTGCTCATGTTTGCATGTGTTGGGACCCAGTGTTTTTGGAAAGTAAAACCCTCCAAATTGTCCAGCACATCAATGCTCCCAGGCTAGTGTCAGGCGAAGTGCTGTAATGACGCCGTGACTTCATGTATAGTGAATCATGCCTAACATGTGCTCCACCATGACTTATCTTAGTGAGTACTTGTGGTTCTTTCTAAGAGGCAACTCCCCAAATCTCCAGATTTTTGGATACCATTTAGCATGCTCCCTTTGCTCTGCTGACAGGAAAAAATGAGAAATTTATGGATAAACATGTGGAGCAAGACAGCGAGCGATGCGATGATAAATGTGAAATTTCTGAAAACACCTTGCAGTCAAAGATGATATTTTATTTACATTGTCTTAACATTCTAATTTCTTCATAAGAAAGTACAGTTTTTTAAAATGGCCATTTTCCCCAAGCCACATGCCTAAATATATTATTTCCCATCGCAATTTCTACCAAATTTTCATTGAAATGGTGCACCATGGTGTAATTGATTAAAGACAAATAGCCTCCCACCTTTCTCTCTCTCTCTCTCTCTCTTTCTTTCTTTTTTCAATTCCTCTAGACAGGATCAGGAAGACCCATTGTGGACAAGAGGGGGTTTGGGTTGAGCTGCTCGCTGGATGGGCTGCAGTCGGAGGAGGAAGCCGCGCCAATGTGCTTCCTTGAACTTCATCAGCCCGGACAGCGTGTGGGGCAGCCCTCCATCAGTCGGAATGAACTCGACAGCCACGAGTCTGGTTTTAGTTTTTACGCAGCAATAGTAACACTCTGAGAATTCCTAGATTGTTGACCATGCTCGCACAGAGATTTTATTAAAGGCTGTACTTGTATGACTCCTATACAAAGGTGACATGGACTTTAGTTACCAGTCTTCTAACCGGGAGATCGCAACCCTTGAACGGACTGGGACAAGAGCATGGTGTGCTCACACCAATAGTAAAACTCTTAATACGAGGAAACACGAAACACTCCATTAATCACACACAGGACCGCGCCACCCAGTACAAAGTGGACATAAGCATCCCCACTCTACAGACTTCTTGATGGAGCAGGGTCATGTTTAACTTTAGAGCCCAGAGGCGTTCGCTCTGCTCGGTTTCTCTGGCGGTTTCCAGACCGCAGTAGGGTCTGATTCCACACGGCTATTGTGTGGACCAAGTAATCCCTGGACACAAAAATACCCTGGGGAGTGATTCCCCTGGCGTCCAGGCTATGTGTGGCCAGCCATTCCACATGCCTTAGGGATGAGCTATCTTTGCCGTGATGAGAGATTTCCTTTTCAAGTTTTGTAATCTCCAAATGCACAAACCTATGACCAATAACAGCCACCGTCACGCGGGCAATGCAGAGGGCCACTGCTTCCAGGGAACCCTGACAGACAGGCGTTTCATCGTGTGACTGCTGGCTTTACAATAATGAAACCAATATGGATTCAGTACAGAGAGGAACTGTTAGATTGCCGATAACTGCGACCCTAAGGTTTTTGACATGAACCATGGCCAGGCAATTAAACAATACACCTCTGCCGTGTACCCACTGGATGGGACTTCAGCTTCCTTCTTCCTGGCTCCGTGCACACCATTCTATTAGCAAAACTACTTGGGAGAGGGGCAGAGACCAAACCAAACCATTCGAGACACCCCTTTCCACTTCCTTCCCACCTCCTATGTCGTGTGTCTTGCAGGTTTGGAACACTGTGACTCACGTCCCGCTCACGGTCCCCCAACAGTCCAGCACAGGATCCTGGCCTTCCCGGGAGTGCAGGCAGAGCGCCCCGAGGCCGACAAACCGGTCCCACGCTCCCGCTCCAGTCTTCTCCGCGGCACAGCCCCGCCCGGAGACCCCAGGACTGGGGCGGTGCTGGGACCCGAGACCCCGTCTTTTCTTTCGGGTTTCGGGATAACGGAGTGAGACTACCTGCCCTCCCCCACCCTTGGGTGCCCTTCCTTTGCTCCTAGGATCTAACGAGTTGCCTACAAGGGTGTCTCCCATGGGTGCGGTAAACAGTTGCGTTCTCTCCAGCCACCCTCACCAGATCCTGGCGCGACAGAAACTCGCTGACGTCCCCAGTGAGCGCGCCGCTGTAGCGCCAGGCTGCGCCGCAGGCCACTGCCGAGGGTCGCTGCAGATGTCGCCAGGGTGCAGAGCTAGGACACCCACGCGTCACCCCGCCCCCGCCCCCCGAAAACAATGCAAAGGAGAGGGAGCGAGGAGGAGGCGAAAGCCGCCTGCATTTCTGCACGTCGGCGCCCAGGAAAAAAGCCAGGCCAACTTTCGGAGGAGGTATGGAGAGGCAGCCAACCCCGGAGCCTCCTTTCCAAGGGAGAGTGGGGAGGGGAGGGCAAGGGAGAGGAGGGGAGGGCGAGGGGTGAGGGCCCCTCCCACCTGTCTCCCCCAACCCTCCCCGCCCCCACCGCACCCTGACAGCTGTCCAGCTCTTGGAATTCATTGGCTCCCCCACCCCGCCTCCCGAATACCACCCCAATCCAGTTGAGCCCCCCGCCCCACCCTCGCTGTCCTAATAAGGCCATGCGGAGTGCTGGGGGACCTTTATAAAAGGCAAGGGCTTGCGGGGACTGGGCGCGACTGACGCCACAGGAGAAGGTAGGAGTCGTCCAGCATCTGCAAGAGCAACCATGGCCAAGGAGTGGGGCTACGCCAGCCACAATGGTGAGTGCGGGCAGCCCAAAGCCAGCCGGGTCCAGCGGGGTGCCCCAGGAGCCCCGGGCTGCCTCCCACATCGCAGGCAGGCACCATTCTCTGCAGAGTAAGATGCAAAGACATGTAGAGGTAAACGCTGCAGGCCCCTTTCTCTTCCCTCTCTCTTAGTTCTACCCACTGTTAGTATTTCCAGCCAAGGAAACTCGAGGCGAAGGCTTGTAACTTGCCCAAGTTGACATGGTCTCTGGGAAGTCAGACCATTCGATTTGCAGTTTGGATGACCACTCACCCTCTGTGACAACTGGACATGGGCACTTACCTTCAGTGAGCCTGGAGTTGGTATATGAATTCCTGCTACCTCAAGTTTCTGTTCGTCTATGAGATGGGCAGTATGAGGAAAACCATGGGGTGCAAATATTCTCCTGGTCTCCCAGCTGGGTGTGATAGTGGCATTGCTTTTGTTTTAAGTGCTGAAGTTCATTTTGATTTTAGGCTCCTAGGCTATATTCTTAAGCTAGACAGAGGGAATACACTAAGCTAAATATAGTCTCCAGGTAGGTTGCTAACACAGCTCTGAACAGATCTTAAAAGCTCAGCCTGTATTGTCCAACCGATTGAAATTGAAGACAATTTTGTAAATGACTGTCTAGCCTCTGTGTTATTTTGCTGGCTTAGTTGATTCGCTAGATGCCTCGATAGTGCCACCAAATAAATACATCAATTCCCCTCAACTTTCTTTCCCAGGTCCTGACCACTGGCATGAACTTTATCCGATTGCCAAGGGAGACAACCAGTCCCCCATTGAGCTGCATAGCAAAGACATCACGCATGACCCATCTCTGCAGCCGTGGTCGGTGTCTTATGACCCGGGCTCTGCCAAGACCATTCTGAACAACGGGAAGACCTGCAGGGTCGTGTTTGATGATACTTACGACAGGTCAAGTAAGTATGACACCTAAGTAGAATCACCTGGACCTATTGGCACAATGGGATGGATGGCACATGAATGGGGGTGGGGGCAATTCATCTCTGAAATGGAGATGACATGTGACTTTGCTTCAGTTGTGAATTATATTTATGTAGTGAGAGGAATGTCTCACCCTCCAACCTTGGGTGATTTATTACTGCAGAATGGCCCCATGCCCAAGCAAATAGTTGACAAAGCATTCCTGAAAGGCAACATGGGTAAGGTGGCGATGGCTGTGAATCCAATGGATATCCTTCAGGGTCTGGTGCCCTGTTGCTAAGAGGGTTCTCACGCGCACAGTGAGGAGAGCAAGGCGCTCCCTCTCAAGGACAGCAGGCTCCATTTCACAGAACAAGGAGCCTAGCAGAGAAACAAAGTAGGCACTTTGTTCCCTAACCTGGGAGGGTGCCAGTCCAGAGGAGAGAATAGGGCCACTGTACCAGTTAAGATAGCTTTTACTTTCATGCTGCAACCACATTTTTTTTCCAAATATACCAAGGTTCATCGGATTAATCCTGTTGGTGGGTATTATTCGAGGAGCTGACACTTTCTTCTTGAGTGATACGCATGCCCGTGAGACTGGAAAGCTGCACGTTAAACAAAACAACAAACCAACAACAGTTTCACCTCCTCTATTAAGCAGAGTAGTGAAATAATAGAAAACGAAGAGAAATAGTTTACTTCAGTATAAATGAGATAATGCTTTCAATATGCTGTGCTTTATATGCAACAATATAATTTCTTATCCCCACCAATAAACTCCTTTCTGTGATGAAGTTAAAAGGATCATTATGGTCACTGATGTACTTAAGTAACTATTCTTAATGCATGATGCTGCAGGAAAGAGTCATAAAGTCCTAGTTCCTACCTTCTAGGATGTCCCAAGGAAGGCCATCCTTAATGATAGAAATTTACATTTTCTTAAGCGATGAGCTCACATTGCCATCCATCTCCCCATCCCTATCCAATTCCATTAACTCCAAGTCGAAGGAAAGCAGAACCACAGAATTAATCTCTTGAGGCTTGCCACATGAAAATGCCACTTTTGTAGATGGAAAAAGTTGAATATTGGCAATTTCATCCAGTTTATCAAACTCTCATGTCCAGATAATAATTTTTCTTTGTGATTGAACAGGAAAAGTTGCAATAAGTCTAGCCTCCTCATTCCTGCCTGACCCAGCTCTCCTGGTTCAGACCTGCACCATAATTTCGCTGTTCCATGTCAGTCCAATGTTTGCCTACCCTTTCTAGAGTCGCTGTTCTCGGAATTCTGTTTTGATCTCGTTTGTATGGTTACACCTTTTTAGGTTTCTGCATAGTTCCCTAGTATTCTGGGGCAGATATTTAGACTTCTGAATCACCCCAGGGACTAAAGCAAGATGAAATGAGGGGGCTGAAGTACTCAGATAACAAGCCCAAGTGGATGTTAGCATTGCCTTCTGCAGCTGTCCACCTGAATGGATTTCCTGGGTATTTTCTAGATTTTTCTCGTTTATCTAATTTGAGTAAACATAGTCTAAAGGGCGCTTGCATGAAAAAGATTGCCTGTCGTCTTAAAGAACAAAAGAACAAAAAACGTGTAGTTGGAAATGAGACATAGAGAAGGAAGTACTGTTTGCTCAATGATGGCTGTGCTGGACACTGTGGTGGGGACACGTAGGTGCTTAATCTCCTTTAAGCCTCACAGCAGCTTGGAGAGGTTGGCATTGCTGTCACTCTCTTAGAGTTGTTAAGTAGGTTCAGAGAAGTTTAGCAACTTGCCCGAGATCACACAACTAGCAAGAAGTGGAGCCAGGATCGGAACCCAAATCTGTTCGGCTTTCAGTAGGCACGGTCTTCCAGTTAGACTGCTGGCGCTGACCTGCTTTTTGGTGGTCTGCATCCTCATCGTCCTGTTGTTTTAATTTTGGAATTTCCAAATATTAAGTGGACATGTGGAAAATCACAGAGCAAGCAGACCAAACAGCAAAGACAGAAAAGAAAAAAAAAGTCCTTTATTGGTCTATGCCAGGCTTTGTTTTGTGAGGAGACCAGGGTGCATGGAATTGACACCACCCAGCCAGAGGCTGACAGGAGGGGGTGGGGGGGGTGGGTGCTCATCAAGTTTTGGCTCTCAGGGCACAAGCTTAAAAGAGGGCTCTGTAAATAAAACTCATGAGCTCACTGTTGGCCTGGCTTCTCTGAATGACAGTGCTGAGAGGCGGCCCTCTCACCGGACCCTACCGGCTCCGCCAGTTCCATCTTCACTGGGGCTCCTCCGATGACCATGGCTCTGAGCACACTGTGGATGGAGTCAAGTACGCAGCGGAGGTGAGTGCAATGGCCATGAATCACGGCCGGCGAATGCTGACCAAACCATTACAGCGGAGAAACAGCACCCACTGCGGTCCTTTAGCCTATGGTGGTAGAAAGAGCTGTAGTCGTTTTAACGTGGACTCCCTGAATGATGCAAATAGTTATTAAGGTGCTTGGCTGCCTAGAGGGCCAAGTCTCCCCCCACCCCGACCCCCCAGGGTCCTCGGGAGAATGGGCTGATTAACTAGTTTCCAAAAAGTCAACCTCTGAAAGTCCTATGCCCCACTTCTAGTCTGACACTACGCGTAGTAGCCATGGGTCCAAAGGACCCAAAACAACTGGTTCACTGGTTTCGTTTGAGCTAGACCTGCCTGGCACTGGAGGCTAGCCAGGTAAGAGCAGTACATGCACTATCATCGCACAGGAAGACTTCCGAGGCTCAATGAAGACGTTCGATAGCAGCTTGATAGAAACGGGCAGAAACTTGAAAGGAGCTGCAAAGATCAGGATCGCTAACACTTCCTACCCGCTGGCAGGCCTGAACTCCTTTAATCCTCTCAGCCACTCACAGGCGCGCTCCAGATGAGGAAGTGGAGGCACAGAAATGTCACAGAGCAAACTCCCATGGCTGATGTACCTGACGCAGATCGGTTTCAGGGCCCCATGGCAGCGCACACTCCTCTCCGCTCATTTAAGCCATTCAAGAAAAGCATGGCTCCCAGCTCAGTTGGAGGCATGGGCATGCCAGGGAGGCATGCCCAGCAATGAAGACAAGCCTCCTGAAGGCTCCTTCCCAGCCTGGGAGGGGCCATTGTCAGCAAATGTCCTGGCATTTTGCAGGTTCTTGCAAACGTCAGGTGCTGCTGTAGGAGCCACAGGTGAACATTTTCCTAGTAGAATCCTTCAGCTCGCTGCCCTGGAGGCGGTGCAGGCTAATAGCCCCCCTTGGGGGAGAGAGGAGAGCTGTCCCATGAGGTGGCCAAGGCTGTCGTTCTTCTGGCAGTCCGAGGGGTAGTGAAAAGGAGGAGGGCCCTTGACAAGACAGATTGCAACCAGAGGCTCCAACCTAAGAGCCATCGTGAAGATGATACCCAACCAGGCAGTGGTTCAATCTGCTGGACCTACACCGGGCGGGCATGAATAAGAACCACCTCTTTCTCCACAGAGGGGCGGATGGTGCATTAGAACAGCCAACCTTGGGTTAGCAGGCTAGTACTTAACCCCTGCTGTCATTCTCACTGCCGTTGTGTCCATGCGGACAGCATAGCTACCCAGAAGCTAGAGTAGAACTGTCCCTGTGGGGATCCAAGACTAACTCTTCACAGAAGTCGAAAGCCTTATCTGTCTCCCTGGGAGTGGCTGGTGGTTGCCAACTGCTGACCTTGCTGCCCACCGAGTAACCACTCTGCCACCAAGGCTGCTCCGGCAGTTATTTGGCAGCTTAATTATTGAAGTAAATGCGAGGTGAGACCCAAAGCACTTCACCGAGATCTTTCCTTTTGTTTACAGCCAATTTAAAAGCCAGTGGCAGGATTAATTATTGAAAGCCCCTCTAGACATCCTCCCCAACAAATGGGGAAGCTTTAGTATGTTTCCATGGGTCACTTTGTCTAACTCAACGTAGGAAATCTCATTATTCTAACGTGTGCCTGGGTTCTAAATTAAGAGAAGATTACCATCAGGTTCTAGAAAACTGGCTGCTGAAAGGAGGGAGGTAGGAAAGTGCCCAGGAATTCTCACCCCCTTCTTTGCCCACCACTGTCCCCCACTGAGGCGCCTATTAATTGTGTTGGGGGGCAGTTAGCAGCTTCTTATTTATCACTCTACCTTTCACTATTAGATCTAGGGAAAGAAGGGTTCTTCGACAAAACTTATCTAAGTAATTTGAGCGGGTGTGATATGAGTACAGTTTTATAAATGGTTACAGTGCTACAAGTGTATGTACCAGGATTCTATGTACTTTACGCTTCAGCCATTAAAAATTAAATACTTCCTCCACCCCACTACCATGATCCCAATTCTACCTTACATATCCAGCTGGACCGGAGGATGTACACTGGCACAGATAGGAACTGGAAATACGTGAACCCAGGACAGATGAACCCCCCAGGACCAGTGGAGAGAGTGACGATATCGGGAGGGTGGAGGGAAGATGAGGGAGAAAGGGGGGACAGATGACAGGTCTATATATGGCCTCCTCCCTGGGGGATGGACAATAGAGAAGTGGGTGAGGGAGACGTTGGATGGGTAAGATATGATAAAATAATAATAATTTATAAATTATCAAGGGTTAAGGGGGAGTGGGGAGCGGGGAGGGAGGGGGGAAAATGAGCTGACACCAAGGGCTCGGGTGGAAAGTGGGTGTTGTGAGAATGATGAAGTCAACATATGCACTAATGTGCTGGACACAAGTGATGTATGTACGGATTGTGATGAGTTGTATGAGCCCCTAATAAAATGATTACTTAATAAAAAAAATTCATCCAAATACTACCTGTTGACCTTCAGAATTTTATCTTCTCCCATGGGTGTGTTCAGCAAGCTCCGCGTGGACAGTTATTGGGCTTATTGTGGATAATTGTGAGCATATTCACTTGTTCCCAGAATTCCCCTCCTAACTTGCGTTCCACGGTTTCAGCTGCATTTGGTCCACTGGAATCCAAAGTATAACACCTTTGGTGAAGCTCTGAAGCAGCCTGATGGGATAGCTGTGGTTGGCATTTTCCTGAAGGTAAGGTCAACATTGATGCTACAGTCTCTTTTAAAAGTTAGCTCCCTGTCAAGGTATAAAACGCACTGCCATCTAGTCACTTCCAAACCATAAGTGCATCCATAAGACAGGCTAGGTCTGCCCTCATGGGCTTCTGAGGTTGTCAGTCTTTACGGGAACGGAAAGCCTCATCTTTCTCCCTTGGAGCACTTGATGGTTTTGAACCAGTGACTTTGTGGTTAACAGCCTGACTCATAACCCACTATACCACAAGGGCTCCTCCCCAATATGACCCAAACCAAACTGCCCTGGAGTCCCTTCCGACTCAATGTGGGTTTCTGAGACTGTAACTCTGCAGGAGTAGAAAGCCTCATCTTTCTCCCACTGACTGGCTGGTGGTTTTGAACTTCCTACCTTGTGATTAGCAGCCCAATGAGTAACCATGACATCACCAAGGCTCCTATCCCCGATTTCTTATTTAAGCCAGGGGTGGGATGGGGAGGGGGAATGGTACTTTCTCCTCATCTTGTATAATTTCCAGTATTTTTTCAACCAATTGAGATATTTCTATTAAGATCAGCTCGAATCTTTTGTGGTTGTTGTAAAATTGACACTGACTCATGGCAGCCCCCTGTGTCTTGAGTAGGACACTCAAGGGTTTCCAGGGCTGCGACCTTTCAGAGGCTGATACCAGGCCTGTCTTAAAGGACCACCCACAGATGTCTCAAAGTAGGCGATCCTCTCTTCCAAGTGTACTTATACTGTTAGAACCCTGAGCACTTCTAGATCCTCTCAAAGGGCAGAGTGTGTGTGTGTGGTGTGTGAGCACGTGCCTGGATGGTGGATGAGGGCAGAGCCATGCTGGGAACATATCTGTGGCAGTGGAGAGGGCAGGGAAGGCATGAACTCATTATCTTTTCCTCGGACTCCATTTTAACGGCACTGGAAACCAGAAAACCCAATGCTGGGAACCCAGTGATACCCAAGTCCTGGCTCGACACCCGGGGCTTAGAATGGCCACTACTCACATGATCCCAGGCTAAGATAGCACAAGGAATGCTTGTGTTGTTGGGCCAGCTTTGGTTTAAAGAGGTCTTAGTGTCATTAGCACATGACACTAAAAATTTAGTGGTAATATAATATCGACTTTAAGTCTCAGGTGAAAAGCTGCCTTCTTTCATTCAGAATGACCTAATTCATTTCACGTTATGACTCCACAGTATCCCTTTCCCAGCGGCAACAGGACACAGCTGGAAGTGGAGTAGGGCGGAGAGGAAAGACAGACAGACGCGGAGCTGCCTGTCTTTTGGATAGGCAGCCTTCCCTCTAGCGCCTTCTGTAAAAAGGAAAGAAAGAGAGAAGTGACCTTGAAGAGAAGGTCAAGGGCAGAAAGCTAGGTCAACTTCTCATTTTGTGGTGTTGTGTTTCAGAGGCTTGAAGTTTAAGTTTAGATCAGAAAGCATACACCCTAAAATCTTGGGTGGAAAATAAACTTCTGTTTCCCTGTAGAACATGACATTTTGGCAGATCTATAAACACCAGTTTCAGACAGATGGATCGGCATCCGCTTTGAAGACAATCCAAAATTATGGCAAAGGGAAAATTGTAATTCTTGGCTTTCTATTTTCTTTGCAGATAGGACGCGAGAAAGGCGAGTTTCAGCTGCTTCTGGATGCACTGGACAAAATTAAGACCAAGGTAAAGAGAGAAAATGAAACCTTCCCTTCTAGAAGAGAAGGTGGGACGTTTTGATTTTTTTCTCACCTTTTCCATGCCTCCCTTTCAGCTACACTTTGTGACGTTTGATGACGTGCTAAGTGCACCCATGAAAATGAATGCCCTTGGTATCTTTTTATGGTTTACACTTTTCAGAGCAGCTCCACCTGCATCTGCTTCTTTGATTGTTATAGACGGCTTGGCAGATGGCTATGTTCCCACTGAAGTTGGGGAGAGTCAGAGAAATTGAGTCCATTCCCTGTCCCCTCACCCACACGCGCCCCCATGGCTCAGAGAAGTAGCTATAAGTGTCAGGCCTCCCACTTCTCTCCTGGGCCATCCCTGTGCCTTGTAAATCTTAATAGGGAGATCACATAGTGCCTTTGATTCTGATTCATACTGACCCCACTTGTCAGAGTAGAATGCTCTGCAGAGGGGCTTCTTCAATGCTGGTATTTCCGGGTTAAATTGTCAGAAATTTTTTCAGTGGTACCTCTGGGTGGATTTGAACATCCCACCTTAATAGCCCAGCACTCACCCTTTTGACCACCCAAGGACCTTGGGTATTCAGAGCCCCCAGAAAACAGAAATTCTCTGCCACCAAGCCTAGTCCAACTCACAGTGGCCCTCCGCAGGGTGTCTGAACTTGTCATTCTTACTGGGAGCACACAGCCTCAGCTTTCTACTGCAGAGCAGCTGGGGGGTGAAACCATCAAGCTTGGGGTTAGCAGCCCATCACTCACCTGACAGCGATGGCAGGGCTA